GCTGTCCCAAATTCGAAGCATCTAATGTGTCTGCATGCCCCTGATGCTTTCTGACATTTGTTTCATGTGAATCCGTTCCAACAGTGAGAACAGCAGAGCAGATGGCCTCACTGACTCATGAGTCATGTCAGATGGGGTTCCTTTGACTTAATTGAAAATTGTGTGATTTAAATGAAGCGATTTTCTGAAATAACAGTTTTCTTTTCCTTGTCTGACATGTGATTGAGTTACAAAGGGGAATGTATTTGCAACAGGTGCTTCTAACACAGTGCAGGCATGAGGGCCTCCATGTTCACCCTCAGTAACCTCCCTCTGCCCCAGAAGCCCTGAGCCTGCCAAGGAAACCTGATTCCGGTTCAGCCACTGGCACACTGCTGCTGCAGCCGTCTCTGCTGGCACAAGCCTACGCTGCTACAGAGATGTGCCACTAAAAGCCGCCTGTGTCATGTGCATATTTGTGATTGTTTGTTAAAATACAACCTTTCAAGTTCATACTTACTTGTGGAATATTTTTTGTGTATCTTTATAGTATATCTATTTAGGACTCTGCAGGAAAAAATATACTGGTATGTTATTTAAATGTCAACGGCATTTTTTTTTAACATGCAAGGAGGTGTATTTGCCACATTACCAAATCATGCCATGACTATTTACAATTATTGAATGAAAGCTATTTTATTCATGGTTTAAGATTTTTCTCATATTCATAAACCTTTGGCCATGACTTTGTCACCTGATTTGTTCATCAGCATATTTCAAACTGGGATGGCCAAAGCTAACTTCAATCCTTACGCTGTACTTTAATATGATTTGTGAACATAGCTGATGGCTGCTGGTAAATGATGATGGTGAAGGTAATGTTAACCCTATGAAAATGTAACTATGTTTAAGGTTTTTCTAAAGTCGAAATTCGTTGCGAAATCATGCTTAGTTCTCACTGAAGCAGCTCAGAAGTCATATTTGTTTAAGAGGTTTCCATCTATTAGTTTTGCAGAGATCTAAATTTCAAACGCCAATGAAATATATATTTATTTAGTGCTTCTTGTGTAGTTGAACACTCAAAGCACTTTTACATTACAAGCCATATTCACACACACTCTTGTAACTGTGCTGTGCCTGAGGGAAAAAACAATAACACAAGCAAAAAAATAAATTACTCTGATATCCATAAGGATCAGATGTGACTTGAGCCAAAACCCAACAAATATAATCTTTTTCAAAAAATATGTCATCCACATTTTCCATAATCTGCCTCACTGACCACTTATATAAAATGTACCAATGTAATTTATAAATGTAGACACTTCTGAACAACTATGTCTGCTAGAAGAAGGTGGACATGCTGTCAGGGCACAGAGGCAAAGCAACATGTACCCATCTGTGCAGGGAGGAGTGATCCCAGGAGAAAACTACTGCTGTGCACAACCGTTGGGATGTAAGACAAAGGATTTTAAAATGAGATGACAAAAATACTGTGTAAGAATTTATTTTTTCATTCAACTTATTTTTTTTATAACCACTTATTTTTTATATAAAATTATATATTATCGGTCCTCTGTAAGTCAAATATCAGGCCCCTTTCCATTCTGTCCTGTGTCTGCTTGACTTGGATGGATTTTTGGGCAGCATTACTGCTGTCAAAGACTTTTTTCCACAGTTTTGAAGACAATGCTGTGCATTGGGTTGTTGTTCTGTTGAAGAATGAACCTTCCCGAGCACTTCACCAGAAAACCTGGTTGTTGTTTCAGTGCAGCTTGGATCCTTTTCCAAGATTCTCTCCACAGAAGAATTATGGATCTCTGTGGGCTTGTTGGTCGCTTGTCTAACCATGGACTTTGGTCCCTGGCTTCTCAGTTTGGTGAGGCAACCAGATGTTGCACATGTGCTGGTAGTTCCAAACCTCCTCTGTGTATCCAGACTGTCATCTCAACTTTATGGCTGTCGCCGACATGCAAAAGGTGTGAGACTTCACGTAGACAGGCATTTGCCCACCAATGAGACGAATGTCCAGTGGATCCAAATGATGATGATTTTAATGGAAAGTTGCACCCAAACACTTACAACAAGGATATTTGGGTCCTGAAGTGATACAAATACTGTTAATATCAGTAGGTATTTGCAACTCTGCAGCATTGTGTCCAGACAAACTATAGTTTAATCTTTCTTAACAGAATTATGAAGCATAAGAGAGTCTAAAAACATCCCAGCACTAACTCACCTATGTTGCACATTTTCCTGTTTGTGTTAAGATGGTGTTTTAAAATAATAGAACCACAATAGAAAAAGCAGTTCCATGTTAGCTACTATATGCCTTGATGAAAGAAGACTTAGAGAGATGTTAGCAAGCACAATAAAGCACAACAAGCTGCCTGTGAGAGGTCCCCTCTGATAAGTGACCCGGTTGTGTTTCATTACCACCTGATCACATTATTTTTCTTATGCACTGTCATACACAACATACACATCATGTATTAGTGCCACTATGATTGTTGCTTTACACCACCAAGAGGATTTCTATTATTTTGAGTTTATTTTACATCATAGATCAATGAGACAGCACATAAGTGAGTTATTTTCACTAAATGATTCAGAACATACGAACATATGTTTGCCTTTTTTTTTTCTCGTATTGCTAAATATAATCTGTCTGTGCCTGCTTTACATCCCTTTCAGGCTGCTTGCATTTCCTGAAGTATTCCAGAATACTATACTATGTGATTATATATATTGTAATATTATAAATGCTGTGCTCTTTTAAATGCTCTGACTCCTGTTTGAATCAGTTTGATGTGGTTAAGCATCACAGAACAGGACATTCTTACTGCACCAGCATTTAGCCTATCCTATGCTTTCTGATGCTTTCTCAGTGAACATGAGCACACACTGATGCAGTGCTTAGCCCCTTTTGTTTGATCACTTTAGATCAATTAAAATGGACAACAAGGTCCTAATAAGGAATCTCTTTATTTCTATAAGTCACATTCTTTGTTTAAAAAACGGCTACCGTTTGGTGAGGTTTAGGCATCGCATACTACTGAAAAAGTGTTTCGGTTGACAGTAAAACATTACTTGCTTGTCTTAAGTGAAACTGTCTCATGACATCTGGAGCATGTCAGAGTTTTCCTTCTTTATCTCATCAGAATAATAAGAAACGTCATCCTAAAATGATGTGCAGCTACATAGGAAACCTGTGCTACATCACTTTGAACGTTATGCTGGGTGTCATAAAAACAGGGAAAAAAAGTACCATCAGCACCCATCTTTAATAAACAAAATTTTATTTTAATTTTATGACTGCTAAAGTTTGGGATTTAACATGAAACTTAGCTCAGCGAGGTGTCCCTAATACTTTTCAGAAGCGGCTGTATGGCTGTATGCATTTGTATGCTAACTCATCTAATGACAAGTTGTGGTATTTCTGAAAACTGCAATATAGTGCCAGTACTAAAAAAATATTCCTAAAGACATCCAAAAAAAACACAGGATGTTACATGTGATGGAAGATACCAGCCTACTGCCTGTCTTCTGTGAATCTCTGTCTTTTATGCTCAATGAGGTCACTGGGTTAAAATGATGTCTGCTACAAACTTCCACTTAGTCGTCGTATGCAAGCATCCCCATCAGAGTTTTAGCACAATCATTTTTTTTATCTTGTAATGTATGCATGTGTGTAAATAAATGGGCCTTAATGCATGATGGCCTTATCTTAGTTCACATTTCATGTCTTTATTTTTTGTTTCTGCTCTATCTTCTCTCTTCTATCTCCCCCTAGAGCACAGCACATTTGACAACTCTTCATATCCTCCAGAGCTGACATTAAAAACTACGAGAAATAGTCGAGTTAGAAAGAAATTAAATTTCAAATAGAAATACTGTGAAATAAAAATACTCATAATACCGTATAAAGGTTATTCGGCTGTCTTTTTTTTTTTTTGGTTATCTTCTTCAAACAACGGCAAATGCGCTAAATGCATCGGGGATAAATAAGTTTCGGTAACTTTGACTTAAAAACGGGAGGTGAGTGTTTCGCCTTTAAGAGTTAAGAAACTTGAAACCTTGTTTGCGCAACAATCAGTGCAGCTCACAGCCGCCAAAGTGTCTAGACTAGCACATGATGGTAGTCAGCCAATGGCTCCACCGCTCTCCTCGGGGGCCCCGTGTGTGCGCGCGTGTGTGTGTTTGTGTGTGTGTGTGTGTGTGTGTGTGAGTGAGGAAGACTGGGGTAGAGGGGGGTGGGGGGGGGGGGGGGAAAAAAAAGAGGGAAAAAGAGAAAAAGAAGGAGACCGGGGCAGCAGTTGGGTCCAGAGCTGAGCGCAGGCACACGCAGGAGGCCGTTCGGTCCCGGATTGGTCCGCTTCGCTGTAGTTTGAGCCCGCACGGATGTTTTGTTGGGATTTAACGCGACAGACGCGCGCTGACACCTCGGGGAAAACGGCAAGGATCCCGACTTCTGGTGCATTTCCCTGGGATTAAATCGCATCGAGGCGGGCTCCCCTCATGCTCTGCGCGCCGGTGTAGAAAAAAAGTAGATCTGAGGCTGCCCCCAAAAGTCGGGAACTGTTCCGAACCGTCCGGGTTTCGAAGGCTTACCGGCTTGGATTATGCTCCAGAGTGTACTGTGTTATGTTATCATGCACTCGGCTTGTTTTATCCGCTCTTAACCGACACACAAACAGTCCATTCCGCAGCGACCCTGGATAAGAAGCCGCTCGCTTTTCCTTGCAGAGGAATCGGTAAAATGCACGCGTCTTGATCGGAATGCTGCAGTGCATTTTTTGCGGGTTTTTTCTGTTGTAGTAAATGCAACAACACAGCCTTCTCTCTCTAATGTTGCGGTTTGGCCACCAGTGCTCGTCAGTTGGCTGTGCATGCGCTGCACGGCATTTCACCGTCATTGATGTTTTGCAACGACCGGAGAAGTATCTGTAGTATATCCAAACAAACCTGAAAAACAAACAAACAACAACAAAAAAAAACCTTCTAGTTGTTCAAGTTGTCGTATGTTCAGGACGAAACGCTCAGGTCTTGTGCGGCGACTCTGGAGAAGTCGTTTGATCCCAGATAAAGAAGAGGAAGATGGAAATGGCACAACTGGCGAGGGCTGCGGGGACAATCTGTTCGGCAACAACAACCCGGAGAAAATTCCCAAAACGGAGTTCGGACCGATGACCCCGAGCGGGTCTGCGGCGGGGGCCTGGGGCCCCGCGGGGGGGTGCGGCGGCCCGGGAGGGGGGGTGGCGGCGGACCAAGACGGGGGCGCGCCGTGCGCCCCGGAGCGCGGCAGCCCCAGCCCCAGCTCCACCCGGGACGGCGAGGGCAGGACGGTGACGTGCTGCCTGTTTAAGGACAGGGACCACTCCGCGCCCCGGGCCGCCAGGGACCCGGGCTCCTGTCACCCCGCGCTGAGGAAGCCGGGGGCCGGGGACGGGGGCTCCCCAGACGCGCAGGAGGCCATGCCGCGCGCCGTGCTGGAGCAGGAACTGAAGTCGGCCACGTATTCCCTTTTGAAAAGGCTAAAGGAGAGGGCGCTGGATACCCTGCTGGAGGCGGTGGAGTCCAGAGGGGGGATGCCGAGCGACTGCGTGATGGTTCTGAGGACGGAGCTGCGGATCGGCGGGCACGTGGCGCTCCCGCAGCTGCTGGTGTGTAAGGTGTACCGCTGGGCTGACCTCCAGCACACGGCCCAGCTCAAGCCGCTCTGTGAGTGTAAGAGCTTCGGGAACCCGGACGGTCCCACGGTGTGCTGCAACCCCTATCACTACAGCCGCCTCTGTGGGCCAGGTACGGTCACCTGCCTCACACACCTCCTCCTGTGGGGCTACTGTCTCCCTTCAGGTTCCCAGCTCTACCTCCTCACTGTCAAACACACTGTCAAAGCCCACAGTTAGGAGTTTAGCAACGTGGTAGGAATCCCACTGGAGCTGTCAAAACTCTATGTGCATGTTGATTAGTTCCACATTCTAGCAGGATCTAGTGTCTTAGCTATTTTCAATCAGACAACATTGGACACCTTAACACACTATTTCAAATGTTCCAGCACTACCTAAGAGTTTTTTTCAGTGAGGTGACACCAGAAATGAGTTGTTGTTTGGCTTATTTTCACACACAAAGACAGAGAAGTAATCCTTTTTCCAACATGAAAGTTCTAATTTGTCCATTAGTCGGGCATGTCAGCGTCAAAACTTTGATCTGGGCCTGTTAAGTCAGATTTTAATGGTAACTTAAATATAACACATTGTTTTTAGATTATTCACAAAGAAACTGTCAATAGCTGCATAATTTAGCATCTTGCTGATGTGTATGACTCCGCTTTCAGTTTCAAAAAGCTAGAAGAAAAACTGTGAACTTTCACTTCAAATCAGAACAACTCTTTCCAAATCTGCAGCTTTCAATAAGTGAGCGTGTTTAACAGCAACTTGCTTTATTATCTACGGCGTCCGTGTGTGTTGGTGTGCAGATGCAGATGTTTTTAGCTCTTCCCTCTGTTCTGAGCTGCTGCCAGCAGTGCATGGCACGTGTGCGATTGTTTAGACTCACTCCCAGTTCTGGACCTGCTTCCATATGTCACTTCACTGGGTCCTGGCTCTCTAAGACAGAGCCTTTCTGACCTATATTAGCAAATTGAAATTTGGGTGGAGGTGGGCGTGTGATTTTGGAAAACTCTGGACGCTGGCCACTCGACCCCGCTGACCCGGTGACAGCGTACGGTATCGTGTGTAAAGATGCAAGCATCAGTATTTCTGTCTCCTCACTGGCAGAGGAGATGGATTTTCCATAACATCCAGGTTTACTAGAGCCAGCTGGCTGCGACAGCCACTTCAAAGTCCTCTGCCCAACAATATCAGAATTCACGTTGAGCTCAAAACCAAAGGGGGCTTTAACCGTCTTGTCAGAGAATACTGTCCAAATTGAACAGAACTCAAATGTTGTATTAAAAAAAAAAAGACGAGTGTTCATAGGAAAGAAGAGAATGCATTTGATAGAAAGTGTGACATTTGTTCCATCTGCTAATGTGGACATGTGGCCATGCTGTATGACTTTCCACTGAAAGCACCAAGATGAATTACTTGGAGAGGGAGAAAGGCACAGACCCCATATTGGGACTAAGACTCATAGTAGACATACCTCGCGTGCGCTCATGCGTGCTCCGATAGAGCTGGTATTTCTTTCACGCTATTCAAGAAGGTGGGGGGGGGGGCTTCACACCAAGACCTTAATCATTAGTTCTGACAGTGTTTGCTAATGCAAAAAGTGTGAATTCTGTATCTTTAAACGACTGGTGCATACTAACAAATTTCGATATTAAAGTAGTTTTTATTCCAGTTAAAAATATCCAAACAAAAACTATGTAGGGAACAGAGTATAGCTCCAGTTCTCGTGTGTACGTTTTAAAACATTAAACGTAGCGTCGTGTCAGACGGGGAGCGTAGTCTGAAGTGGTGAGAAACTTTTCCCTTTTATTTTACCAGGCATTATGCTTTACGAATGAGATCAGTTTCAAGTTGCGCTTTAAAAGCCCTTTTGTCCTGAGGAGGTCCCCTCATGCTATTTAGGTGAAGGAGTGGTGATAATATACAGTTTGCATACTACTGGCGCCAGACTGACTAGCTGTGTATCTGAGTGACTGAGTTCAGATCCTGGCAATTACTGCCGCCACTCTTAAAGGACCCGCTGCTATTATGCTTTTCTCCTTCCAATTTTCCCTGTAGGCGAGGTCACAGTGAGCTCACAAAGTTTCCTTTCCTTTGTGCTTTCCCTCTTGTGCAAGCTTCGCTTCTTCTCTTTTTATTAGATAAAGCTGAGTTCTCTGAAGGCATTGGTGTTAAAAAGGGATAGTTTTCAAACCCAAAGTTCTGGTCAGACTGTGGTCATATTTAACGACTGCTTCAGTTAAATAATATGCGCTTAAATAACAGCAACAAATGAAACAAGTGTTTGCTTTTGGCTTTATTGGCTTTTTAAATAGCTTGTGAACAGAATTATTTGAACTTGTGGCAGAGGCACAAAACTGGGATTGTGAAGATGGTGTCTGTAGCTGTCTTTTCTTTTCACCATCTCACACAGTAATTTTACTCAAAAAACAAATTCAATTCACAATCTTTGTGCCCGTTTCTGTCACCGTTTAAACACCGTGGCTGTTCAGCCATGCAGGAAAGAGACACTTTCAGCTTACCAGCCTCTGAACATTCCTTTATTTCCAGATCCTCAGCTTAATCTTTCTCCTTCCTTTTTTAGGTTACTCTATTGACATTATTGTTTTGTATTCCAGAGTCACCCCCACCTCCATATTCAAGGCTTTCCCCAAACGAAGAACACAAGCCACTGGGTAAGTGAGAACTGCACGGGCCCACTGTGGCAGCTCAGGCTGCCTTCATTCATCTTCACTTATTGATCAGTATTTGGATTCTGCCTGCAGCGGTTGCTCCTCTCAGGTGGGACGTTTTGGTCCTACAAACCAAAGATATTAAGCCAGCGGACGAGGCGCTCAACCGTTTATTTTCGTCCGCTCGCTTTGTTAATGGTCAGGTTGATGGATGTCAGGGCGAGACTTTTAATGGCACCTCGACTGGCAGTTTTTCTGGTTACTTTGAGATGAGCGATATGCCATGCAGCTGAATGATGTGAGCATGCCAGCCAGATCCAGTGGAGATATTGTGGTGTGGGTGGTGAAGGTGCAGCCTGAGTGAATCAGCCGTGTCCACAATGTATTTACGCGTCCAGTGTTCTATGATCTAGATTAGCTATGAATGGCATCTGCCCAAGTGACTTGATGTTATTGATAATTACCAACTTACATTTCTTAATTATCAATCCACCACTAAAATAGTTTTTCTTTTCAGATCTTGCAAGTATGTGGAACTAATTAAAATGCACATACCATGCTTCAGCTGTCACCCACATGGAAATTCTACTTTTAGAGTTGTTCAGTCCAGGTTGTAAACATGGCAAAGTAGCTACCTCAAAGGCTGAAAGAACGCCATCACACAGGAAAAGCTTGAAAAGAGAAAGCTTGCACTTTTGTCAAAAGTAAGAATATCGATACTTTCTGTCCAAAGCAAGCAGTGGTTTAAGAACCAGGCTGCTCCTCACACTCACACAGTCCAGGCTTGACTGTGAAGCACGTGAAAGTTGACCTGAATGTGCAGAGAAAGAATAATGCAACACCCTGTGGCGCTCTAAGAGTCTGTTTTATGGACCGTTGAGACTAAACTTGAACTGTTTAGACCCATGGATCAGAGGCATGTCTGGGGTAAAAAAAGGACAACGCCTATATGACAAGAAGAGCGCCATCCACCACAATCAGTCAAACATGGAGGTGGGTCCATCCTGTTGAGGGGGTGTTTTAGCCACCACAGGAACTTGTAAACACGACTACTTTGAAATCGACAGCCGTCGTGAAAAAAGAATAAATTGAAGCCTGGTAACGCTGTGCCATACAGGCAGATATGGAGCGAAGAGGGATTCAGTGCTGCCCCGCCTTTGAGCAGCAAGAGAGGGAATTGAATTGTTTATATGTCGAGGAGAATTTTCAGAAGATCGTTGGTGGTGACTTAAACATAATAATTCAACATCTGGAGTTGTGCAGTGATCAATTGTTCCTCTTTTTGCCTTTTAAACATCACTCAATGTCTCAAATATACCCAAACGATCATCCCAATTAGTAGTATTTGACCATATACCAAAGCATTACTTGATCAGACTTCGGCGTCATCACCATTTAGTTGAGAGGTTCAAATAGTATTGATTTATTTTGTGTGTACCAGAATATCACCTCTTAAAGCTGCCAGTGAGGATGCCAAGTTAGGGACTTTATTTGATGGGAAGTGGTGTTTATTGTTTTGAATTTGATTTGATTAAATCAGAAGTGTGGGAATGAGAGGCTCGAGGTGCCGGTGGCAACGATTATGTGAATGAGTACTCAGTAGCCATTATCACGTCCTGGAGAGGAGCTCATTCTGTTCTGTCCCCCACAGATCTGTCAGACTCCACATTGTCGTACACTGAAACCGAGGCAGCCAGCTCACCAAACATCACACCGGGGGATTTTTCAGGTGGGTGTGTTTTTACAACTGTCACCGGCCTCCAAATAAGGACTCCTGAATGTTTTGAACTGATGTCAGAGATTTATGGTTTGAGGGGAGGTTACAAACCCAGAGGAACCAGTCTCCGAATACAGAAGTGATTTATCAACACAACAGTTGGTTGGAGAACTGCAAACATCGTAATAGGGGTTAGCATTTGGTATTTATTCATTTAGATGTAACGGAGGGTTTTCAATCGTCAAATTTTGCCAACATACAGTATTTGAATGGTTTCATGGTTCTTGCTGTGCAGTGATATGTATCAGACGCTAATGTTGAGTCTGACATTATGGTAAGAATTTGTCTCTGGCTAGTTGAAGTGTTTGTGTTGGTGACTTGTGTTGGTGTTGGCGTCAACTAGCATTAGCACATGTGCTCACCTTATGAAACAAAGTCTTACTGGGGTAAAGATTCATGGGGTAAAGATTAAGTAGAAGTGTTCAGGTTTGCTTTTTAAATGTACGATTTAAACTAGTAGTTTAAGTACTAGGCACCTTTCATTTCTAAATACCAGTTAAAGGTCTTCTATTCTGATGTGTTCGTATTTGGTTTCCCATGCAATAAAGCTTTAAGTATGAGACTCCATCTATGAGTCATATCATGATTACTGTAATGAATCACAGAGCTTTGAAAGTTCCATCCTGTCCTGTTTTTATGGCTTTTAAATGTTTAAATGAAATGCCACAGGGGAAAAAAGAAGTACATAATTCTTCATAAGTGGACTAAAAAACACATCAGTGCTGCTCTCTGCATAGACGTTGAGTGCAGGACGAGAGTTCCATGTTTAATTAATACTTTATTCCTTCACATTAGGGATCATCACAATTAGTACAAGCTGTAAAGATAAAGGTTTCATTGTGAGCGGTGCGGAGGTTCAATGGGGCGTGTGCATTGGCTTTAGAGCTGGCCTCCCTTTTTCTGTTTTTCTTTCAGAAATATTTGAGTGGGATCAAACTGTAATAAGATCCAAGCTTACTCTGAAACAGAGGCGCACACACTGTGACTTCTGCAGGCGTGTGTGCACACACGCACGGCTCTATCTGCATGTCTGAAAGCGGGCTGCAGAGAGGGCAGGGTAGCTCCTGTGAATGGGGCCACACCGAAAGAAGCGAGCGCAGACTCTCATGTTGTCCGATTTGAAACGAAACACGCCTTTCTGGTGGCGAATGGTAAGCGCGTCTTACATTTCGCTTCGTGCGAGGGTCACAGCCAGCATGCGCAGTGTCACGCGGACAGGGACTCAGAACCCCTGGTTGGAGGCATGCGGGGACCAGTGTTTCCTGTCGAAGGGTCTGCAGTGGCTCAGGGGGTCTGGATACTGAGAAGTTGTAATGGCTACCTGGCAGAGAAGTATTCAGTCAGCAGAAGCCCCCTCCTCCCCAGCAAACACGGGCTGTCACCACCTCAGCATGGTCCGGCGACACTCCCTGAGTCAACAAATGAGGGGCTTGTCAGAGCGCGCACCACAATTCCTCAGAGACTCTGGTGGAGGAGGATCTAGACGCGCTGGGCTTTGGTTTCTTCCAACTGTATCGCTGTTTGTACAGGCCGGGAACCATCACTCTGCATTTGGACTTGCGAAAGAGAGTGACCAGTGCTCCGCGGGGTGTTTTTTTACACCGTGACCTCATGTGTTTTGCCAGTTGTATTCGTACGCGAGAATTTCATTGTATAAGGTTTCTTGGTCTACATATGCTATCCAGCAAAGCATACTCCATCATAGGAGCAATCAGAACTAGTCAGCACGCCTCCATGGTAAGCGTGTAGAGAAGCTTTAGCATTCTACTCTGTAACACAGTACATGTATGGTAATATTATCCTGTGTCATACATGCTGCAACCTAAAGATGACTTTCTCCATGAGTCGCTCTCATGCTTGGGTTGAGAGAGCGTCTGTGTGTAACCAGAGTTGTATGAGATCCAGACTCCACCCATCGTGCACGAATAAGTAAACCTCTTAAAAGCTAGTCTGAGGGCCTTCGCTGGGTGGGGTTTGTCAAATAATCAGCTACAGTTTGCAGCCCTGGGCTACAGAAATACCCACTGAGCATTCTTCTGCATCACACAATGGCAGCAAAACGGATCGGAACTGGTTGGCGTGCCAGATAAGCTAGCTTTAGTAGATTTAGTAGAATTTGAATTGTGGTTAATCCTACTGAGTGCGTTTTTAGCATGTCATATTAAATCAGTGGTGTGGGCTTAATTGTTTACTGCTATATTTGTCTGACCCAGGTTGCGTAGGCATTTTAGAAAAAACCATCCTCATGTGCATATCACGGTATCAATGGCTTTGGTAATATTTATACCTTCAGATTTGTGGGGTTCTGGCGGGAACCTGTGGGGGTCACTGACGCTGTGTGACACTGTTAACTCCAGCGGGCTCTCTGTGATGTCTGTTTATACCAGGAGTGGGCCCAGCGTCCAGCCCCTGACCCTGGATGCAGTATACATAAGTGTGTGAAGGAATGTGGCTTTGCCTGTGCTGCCCTCCCAGTTTCCCCGCACAGCCCTTTCCTCACGGCCAGGGCCTCCACGTGGAGAAAGCAGAAAGAAGCTCTTTGAAGCAGGTCTCATTGCTTCCTGTATTGACTGTCTTAGGGGGCTATTCTACACGTTGACTTGATATCCGTTTTTGTGTTTGTTTGTCACTGCCACGGGCCCGCTGTCAAGGAGTCAAGCCAATATGGTTTTCACAGATTTAAATTCACATATATTTTAGAAAAATGCTGTATTTTCTACAATATAACCAATATTTTTTGGTGTAGTTCTGCAGAGCTTCCTCTTGGTTAAGACTATTGTGACGCCATGACTCGAGTAAGCCTACATTTATCAGCCACTAGAGGTTGTGTCCTCGATCAACCCAGCGGAATTTGTCAGCGTAACACTTTGTGTACGCGATCGTGCTGGTGTGAGCTGAGATCACAGGTGTGAATGGTTGGGCTCCCTCAGACTTTTTGGGTCAAGTGACCAGAGGACATGCAGGGCGATATGACTCACTTACACTTATTTAAAGTTACATGGATAAAACAGAAGGCCGCGGCTCTCCTGGAGCAGACGAGGTGGACGGGGTTTCCTTACGGTAGTCATTCCCGAGTCTGCTTGTTTCTAGTGGGAAGGTCCTTAACGATTCTCTGGGCCTCACTGTTAAATGTCCACTCAGGTACAGACTAATTCAGACAGGCAGAACAAATAGAGAGACTAGGATGGCGACAAATAGTTTTTTGAATTTACAGCGTACACAGCGCTGGAGCTAAGCCCGCAAATGAGGGTTTTTTTATGCTTTTGTTTATATGTCTTCAAGACCATTTTTCTTCCTCAATGTCTTCTTATAAGTCGAGACACATACATTTACACGCTGGAGCTAAGTAAATTCAGTTGAACAATCAATACTAATCACACTTCCCTGTCTGTGTCAGGAAGAGGCGATCACTGAGCATCAAACCAGTCCCTCTGTCTGTGGCAGAGACAGTGGAAATCCAAGGACTAATTAGACAGTTCAATCAAGGCATGTGATGCTTCTTTTGATTAAAGCAGATTAGAACTGGACCCCTACTTGTTGATCTGACTTAGAATGCATGTGATTCCACTTCTCCGAGGATCTAATTGAACAGGATATTCACTGAACGCGTTGACTGTAAAAAGATTTAAAATAGATTGTCTAAATTTCTCTATAAAGTCATATTATGATCTTCGATCATCTGCTTATTTTATTTTAGTGACCTCAGATTTTTTTTTCTTTTCTGTGTTCAACTTTAATCTTCAGTCTTTAATCTTGCACGTCTGGTCACTAAAAGCAGCTGTCGTCCCTTACCTCTGTCTCACATGCATGTCTTGTAAAGAAGAGTGTTGAGTTGGTAAATCCTGTCGTGTACACATCTAGCAAAGCAGCCGCATCAGTAAGTCGGCTGTTTTTTTTCTTCCCTTTCCTTGAGACTTGAGACCTGAGACCCTTCCTCCATCTTCCAGACCCCTGAGCGATACAGCCCGAACTCATCTCCCCCTGAAACCTGGCGCATGGCCTCAGGTTTCTACCGCAGCCCCGGGCCTTCCCAGCGCCTGGCCGCCCACAGTCCCCGAGGAGCCCGAATGCTCCAGGATACGGGATGTGGAAATAATGTGACTCGAGTGCTTCCACTCTGCCTCCTGAAATCAGGTTTTGCGGATTGTTTATTTGAGGGGAAGGAGGCCTCAGACAAACATCCTGTTTTAAAAAGCTGCCTGGGTTTTGTAGCAGCGCAGCGCGGTGAATTGCCCCTTTGACAGTGGGGGGAGACTCAGGAATGTTGAAGAGAAGGCCAGCATCTCAGGGGACGTGAGGGGGCTCTCCTCACCCGTTTGTCATGTCCAGTGTGTAGAATGGGTTTTAAACTGGGGGCAGAGGGCTGTAACTGCACATCCTGAAGGGTCTTGCGCTCTGCTCTCTCCGTGGCGGCGTAGGGCTTGTACCCACAGTCCTCGTCTCAAGTATCCGTTCCTGTCCTGGGAGGCTGGCTTCCGTTTCCCCTTACGTAATACACATGCACAGAAGAAAAAAAAGAGCAGTTGATAACACTGATAAGGCCATTTTTCATTTTCCCTTTCTCAGCATTGTTAGACGTTGGTGTATTTGAATTTGGCTATGAGCGTTTCTGCTTGAGCCATGGAAGATCCTCAGTCATCCTATTGGTTCATGAATGTTAGTTTAAAAGAAAAAACAAAGACTACGCTTGAAGATTTTAGCATATTTTAGTTTAAATGACCGTTATTTACATCATGCCATGTATTTATGTTGATGCAGTGATTTGTTTTGCAGTCAGAACTTGTGAGACAGGTCCTGGATGCGGTGAGGTAATGGGACTTCTACGTGAGGACTGAAAGCCATGCTAATCTAAAGCAGTCCTCGGAGAGGCCTGAAACCCCTTACATGTCAACAGAAAGTCGCTCGCTGAGCTTAGTATTTATCTATCTGTACTTGGCAAGCCGGTGTGGTGC